TCAGGTCGCCCCTTACAAAACCAGCCGCAGTTCCAGTGCCTCTAGTTCACCCTGGCTGAACAACCAGATTCTCGAACTTAGACGCTCCTATAGAAAAGCGGAACAACGGTGGAAGAGGACAGGTTTGGTTGTTCATCGCAAATATTTTAAAGAACTTCTCGAGTCATACAACGAAGCTGTAGAAAATGCCAGGTCTTCTTTCTTCAGCAACCTCATATGCCAAAATAAGAATAATCCTAAGGTTTTGTTTGATACCATCTCCAGCATCGTGTCTTCTCCTCCGCAGCAGGCTCAGCTATCTTCAGCTGATGACTGTAACAGATTTCTTCACTTTTTTGCAAACAAGGTGTTGAATCTGAGATCCAGCATTCCACCAGCCCCCCCCCCCCCCCCCCCCCCCCCCCCCCCCAGGAGGGGAGGCCCCTCAGTGCTCCGAGTCTTTCACCTCCCTCTCCCCAATTACACTAAATGACTTAACCTCAATAATCAGTCAGATGAAACTCTCATCATGCTCATCAGATATTTTAACTCCCTCTGTTTTAGTCGGGTCCCTTGCCTCTATCAGTCCATCTCTGTTGACTATAATCAACAGCTCACTGAGCCAAGGCTGTGTTCTATCTTAAGCCGGGCATACACTGTGCGACTTTTTCACTCGTAGCACTCAGCTTCAACTCAAACTGTACGACTTCCTCGCAGAGCAGATCTCACGAGTCATGCGCTCACACTGCACGGCCCAGTTCTCGCATGCGACCTGACTGCTCACACTGGACGGTAGCAACACGTCGGCCCTAAAAATATGCTAAAAATAGCAGTTTTTACTCAACACGTCAGACTTTTTTTTCTTGTCTTGCCTGTTGTCCTTTGGGAGTGCTGCAGGACGACACAGAGGGATTTATGGGGGTTGGATGAGTAAAACGAAATAAAGAAAGTAAATCTGTGTTTTGTGATCAGTTTAATTTGACATGAACACGACAAACATGCTTTCTTGACAATCTTTGTGAGTAAAAAACGTGTAGAAACAAAAACGAACAGTGTGTGTTATTAGGGAAATAGCGAGCGAGCGGCGTTGATGCATGATTGAGCATGCGCCGTGAGTGGTTCTGATACTTTTTGGGTCGCAGCTGCTCGCAGCGCAGATTCAACAGTGCGATACCCTCACGAGGGACGAGTGAAATTTTAAACACGCCAGAAGTCCGTGCGACCTCACGACTGCTGATCAGCAGCTGGTCAAGTGGTGTTAATCGCCTCTCGTAACCCCCTGTACACTACACGACCGCTCGGCGCAAAACTCACCCCGATGTCGTGGATTCTCGCACGACTGGAAAATCAGCTCAAAAAAGTGAAAAAGTCGCACAGTGTAAAAATGCAGTAGTGACTCCTTTTTTATTTTATTTTTTTTTACCGTGTCCTGTCTGGCTGTGAAGCAAGCAGAATTGATGTCTGAATGCTGGTGACAAGCCTTACAGATTTATTCTCAGGTGGAGCATCAAAGCGTTTGCTTTTAATGTCACGCCTGATACTTAAAACTTTATTGTTATTGTTGTTGAATGCTTTGTAATTCCGACCAGACACGGAGACAGAGGTGAAAGAGAAAGGAAGAGAAAAGGTGGAGGGGGGGGGGGGGGGGGGGGGGGGGGTTCCACAAAAATAAACAATGAACAAGAGTCTGCTTCTAGACCTGCAGAAACAGACAAAAAAAACAAAACAAAAGGACACAAAAAAGGGACACAACAACAATACAACAAGATCTACCTATCACTGCGTCAACTTGATGAAAAAAAACAAACAAAAAAAAAACAATATATATATGTATATATATATATATATAAAATCAACATTGCTTAACTGAAGAATCACGATAATAAATCACAATGCATTAAGTGCCCCCCATAGTCTTAAGACATGTGTTGAACGTGCCCAAGCCCATACTTTTGAGAGCACCATGTGAGCACCTGTGTGTGTACACGCGCTTGTTTATTTAAGGTTTCTCTATAGGAGCGTCCAACAGAGAGTGTGAGGGACCACAGATCCGCCCCCCAAAGATGCGCAGGAGACGGGGGGAGCTCCAAGTCCCAGAGATCCAGGCGTTGCCCCAGAATGCAGGAACCCCAAGGAGACTGCAACCAGAAAGGCCCCCGCCCCCCTCGAGAGGCACAGAGGATCGCCCCGGGGGGCCACAACCAGCAGCCGGCAGAGTCCCTGGAGATATCAGCGGCAAGCCCACAGGCCCTGTAAAGTGCTTTGATACCTACATACACGCATGCCTGCACAATCACACACAAAGGGACACATGTCAAAATGCTATTTTGCAGAATAAGCTAATTTTGTACATTCAGTCAGGCTTATTTTTTGAAAGAACACTGAAAAAGCACAATTACCAAAAATTCAGAACACACACATGCAAACTATTGTATGGCATCTCTAAATAACACACAAACCATTTTTTTTGCAAAATATGTATTATAATGGGCAGTCAGAGGTAAAGAAATACAGCTAAATCATTCAGTTGAAATGCTGGGTCAGCCATTGCCCTGCTATATATGGAGAAAGTATGCCATGTAGTGAAAAACAGTAAAAACTGCTTCTTACATTTGTGATGAGACTGTAAACACGGGCACAATCATAATTTTTTAAAATTATGCCAATATTTATGCTAATTAAAAATATATGATTTACATGAAAGTCAATGGCACAAAAAATGCTTCAATGTGCTTAACTGTACAAAATGATTTCCACGTTTTAATAAAGTAGGTTGAATATTTTTTCAAACTTTTTTTTGTAATTCCTTCCAAAATACACATCCTCCATAAAAATTAGATAAATTGCATTAACATAGCCAAAGTTATTCACAAAAATACACGTGTCAGCACAAAAAAAAATGCTCTAATGTGAGGTAAGGGTTAAATTATCTAGTTTACACTCATGACAAATCTGAGGGGGGTGAATTTTTTTCTCACTCTTCTGTTTAAGTGTATTAAAAGTCTAAAATTCTGTATAATGAGCATCCGACCCACGTGACCACAGAGCTAGCTCTGTGGAAAGGCCTCAGTAGAGCCTCGGTCTGGCTTGGAAACTGTTCCAGGATTTTGAGTCTCTTTGTGTGTGTATTCTTTTTTGGATATTTTTAGAGCAACTGTTGGACAAAATGACTTGCTGTGGCATTAATTGCACTAATAGAGCATCCAAGGAGTCTCCACTGCATTTTTTCGGTAAGTAAAATTATATTTATGTATTTATGTAGGTCACTGCCGAGCTGAGCTTAGATTTTAACATGTACTGTTTAACCATGAAATTTAAATGTAATAGGGTAAAACCCAGTGCATTTAACATAATGCTGCACTTTAGAGAAGTTGAAATATAACATCTTGGTGGAGCTCTCGGGACACCGATGTTTTCCACCCGTTTCTCCCCTCCCCGCAGCCCGGCGCATCTCTGACAGCGGCTTCTGTCTGCTGCACGAGCTGCCGGCTTGTGGAGCTCTGGATGGAAACCGATGTTTTCCACCCGTTCTCCCCTCCCCGCAGCTCGGCGCATCTGTATGATCGCGGCTTCTGTTTGCTGCGTGGGCTGCCGGCTTGTGGAGCTCTGGGATGGAAACCTTTCCACCCGGTTCTCCCCAGCAGCAGCTCTGCCCATCTCAGATCGCAGCGGCGCTCGTCTGCTGTGCGGCTGCCGGCTTGTGGAGGTCTCAGAGACCTCTGTGTTCCACCCGGTTTTACCCAGCGGTCAGCCCGGCGTATCCTTGACTCAAAAGCTCTGGTGTTGTACAGAGTTAACTCCGGTTGTAGCTAGGTTGCTACCTCCGGTAGCTTAGCTCCCACCTCCGCATTAGCTTTGGGTTAGCTTGTAGCTAGTTCGACCAGGTGTCATCAGTTGATCCAAGCCTTACAGCCCCACCCTCAGCTCCACCTCTCTTCCCTTTTGTGGAATCGTCTGGGCTTGACGGAACCTGTGACACGGTCAAAATGGCGGTGGTGGCCACCTCCCATTTTAGCACAAAAACTTATTGAAGCCTATGGAAACCCATTGTCCATATATGTATGTTGATGGGCTGATCCCATCTGGCCTTGCAGCTTTCCTGTTTTTAAGCCGAAGACAAGTGCAAAACGTTAGAAAAAATATGCTGTCCAATCAGCAAAGATGCCAGGCTGTTATATAAACAATTCACCAGATTATTTCATTCTTTACATCCAATTATTGCTTAAGTCAATGCCAAATATCTTAAATGTTTGACAAAACAGACAACCGAGTGAGTCACCCAGTCATTGACGTTTTATTGATGTAATAATGTTTTGATTTTTTTTAAAGCTAAAATGTTAATCTCATTTGAAGTTTTTTCAGCAGTGACAATCTAAATAACTTTACTGAGGGGAACAAAAATGGGAAATAAACAATTGAACTTGTGCACAGATTTCTGGCACACCAACCTCAGGATGTTTCAAAACAACTCTTAGGATTTTAGATAAAACTGACATCTTCTAAACTCTCAGCTCGTTAGCTATTAGGTGAAAATTATTTTCCCAAAATGAAACCATCATTTCCATCCGTCGGCTGTCATTGCCTCAAAAACAAAGCTCGGAATTAAACAGTTTTCCTCCAGCTAAACTACAAAAAGCTGCAAAACAATGAACTTTCACCAATAGGAAAACTTCTGAATGCTTTCTGAAACTTTCGGTTTCAGTGTGAGACATTTATGGCTATTAACTGGCAAAATTACAACTACTTTAAAGAGCTGGGGTCATTTTATAAAAACTTATTTACTCATTTTCTTGTTGCTGAAGTAAGAAAAACCCTTCCATATTCCAACTTAATTACATTTCTGACTGACTGCTCATTTTCACCAATGCTGGGATTGTTGATTGTAAAGAAAAGAAGGAACTTGTTGTAAAAAGCCAGTTTAAGCCTCAACTTTCAGCTGATAATTTAGTCGTTTTATCAACACAGATACTGGTCCGGTGGACAAAACAGAGAAAAAGCCTCTAAACATGATCACACAGTCATACTTTTCATGTATTTACAGTACAAACTGTTTATTTGTTTACATTTTTAAGAAAATGCTTAGATGAACCATGACTGAAACTTTGACTGCTTACAAATTTGTTCTGCATGAAACTTCAGGAAGAGAAGGCCACTCTACAACTGAGGCACAGGATAAAAACTAAATCCTCTTTTAGTAGAATAATAAAATGATGGAGAGAATGAAAAATCTGGGGGGAGAAACAGTAGCAGAGAAGACAGGAAGAAACAGATGATCCAAACATAAACCTTCACAGAAGGAGATAATTCACTGCAGCTCAAGGTAAGGCTGCAAAAATGACTGACATCTTTACGAGTTTATCATAAAACAGGATGCAAAATAGAAAACAAATGTGGATTTTCTCAACTGTTTCTCGCTGCACCCAAAAAAAAAAAAATTTAATTAAAAAATTTAAGTCTCAACTGTGACTAAATCTTCCAGCAAATGAGCTGTCTGCTCCAGTCAGGCGTGAAACCCCACACTACAGCGCCGCTCCGGCTCACTCAGGTCGCTCCAGACTGCAGGAGGTGCACTGCAGAAGAGCCGAGTCTGCCGATGCTCGTGGGAAAATCAAACAATAAATCAGATAGAGATGCAGTTGATAAACATGAATGTGGGCCAGATAAATCTCCAGGAAATTGGAGAACAGCGGTCTTTGACCAGCAGAGGTTGTCATGGCTACAAAAAAGCAACACCGTCTTTAGGAAGTGGGAGGCTGGAAGGTTTTGGAGGTGGCAAGCATGGCTCGTACTTTGGCCATCAGATCCTGAAAACGAAGAGAAATACAAACAAAATTAGTTTGAATTAAAATGATTGGTTTTAGTGAACACATTTAACCATTAGTCAAAGATGACACAAGTAAACACAAAAAGCTGTTTTGAAATGATGGTTTTTATTATTTAGGGAGAGAACAAAATCCAAACGTACATTGCCGAGTGTGAAAAAGTAATTGCCCCCTGAACCTAATTGCCTGGGCCAATTGCAATAACTGCAATCATGCATTTGCGATAACTTGCTACAAGTCTTTTACAGCACTCTGGAGGAATTTTGGCCCACTCATCTTTGCAAAATTGTTGTAATTCAGCTTTATTTGAGGGTTTTCTAGCATGAACCGCCTTTTTAAGGTCATGCCATAGCATCTCAATAGGATTCAGGTCAGGACTTTGACTAGGCCACTCCAAAGTCTTCATTTTGTTGTTCTTCAGCCATTCAGAGGTGGATTTGCTGGTGTGTTTTGGGTCATTGTCCTGCTGCAGCACCCAAGATCGCTTCAGCTTTAGTTGACGAACAGATGGCCGGGCATTCTCCTTCAGGATGTTTTGGTAGACAGTAGAATTCATGGTTCCATTTATCACAGCAAGCCTTCCAGTTCCTGAAGCAGCAAAACAACCCCAGACCATCACACTATCACCACCATATTTTGCTGTTGGTATGATGTTCTTTGTCTGAAATGCTGTGTTACTTCTACGCCAGATGTAACGGGACCTTTGCCTTCCAAAAAGTTCAACTTTTGTCTCATCAGTCCTCAAGGTTTTTTCCCAAAAGTCTTGGCAATCATTGGCATGTTTCTTAGCAAAATTGAGACGAGCCCTAATGTTCTTTTTGCTTAACAGTGGTTTGCGCCTTGGAAATCTGCCATGCAGGCCATTTTTGCCCAGTCTCTTTCTTATGGTGGAGTCGTGAACACTGACCTTAATTGAGACAAGTGAGGCCTGCAGTTCTTTAGAAGTTGTCCTGGGGTCTTTTGTGACCTCTCGGATGAGTTGTCTCTGCGCTCTTGGGGTAATTTTGGTCGGCCGCCCACTCCTGGGAAGGTTCACCACTGTTCCATGTTGTTGCCATTTGTGGATAATGGCTCTCACTGTGGTTCGCTGGAGTCCCAAAGCTTTAGAAATGGCTTTATAACTTTACCAGACTGATAGATCTCAATTATTTTTGATCTCATTTGTTCTTGAATTTCTTTGGATCTTGACATGATGTCTAGCTTTTGAGGTGCTTTTGGTCTACTTCTCTGTGTCAGGCAGCTCATATTTAAGTGATTTCTTGATTGAAACAGGTGTGGCAGTAATCAGGCTTGGGGGTGGCTACAGAAATTGAACTCAGGTATGAAACACCACAGTTGGGTTATTTTTTAACAAGGGGGACAATTACTTTTACACGCAGGGCAATGTAGGTTTAGATTTTGTTCTCTCCCTAAATAATTAAAACCATCATATCACAACTGCATTTTGTGTTTACTTGTTATCTTTGACTAATGGTTAAATGTGTTTGATGATCAGAAACATTTTGTGTGAAAAACATGCAAAAGAATAAGAAATCAGGAAGGGGGGAACGAGTTTTTCACACCACTGTACATATACATATATATATATATATATATATATATATATATATATACATATGTATACACACACACACACACACACACACACACACACACACACACACACACACACACACACACACACACACACACACATACACACACACACACACACACACACACACATATGTGTGTGTGTGTGTGTATGTCAACACGGTGGAATTAATAGAAGCTTTAAAGAACAAACTCTGGACGGTGTGAGGTGAGTTTGTCTCACTGCAGAAATAAAAACACACACGGAGCGTCACCAGTCAGACGCAGCCGCTCACCAACACTCGTGTGTGTGTGTGTGTGTGTGTGTGTGTGTGTGTGTGTGTGTGTGTGTGTGTGTGTGTGTGTGAGCGTGAGCATCAGAAGGCTGAACAATAATCTGTAGAATAGTTAAAGTCATCATGCTAGAGCAGCTTTCTTTGTGGTGGACCACACCAGCTTCTGCCACAATAAATAAATAAATGACACGCAAAGTTGTGAACATTTTAATTTCCTTTTTGAACTATTTCTGTTGAGAGTTTTAATGTTTAAAATTTGTTAGATTGTTACTGACAGCAGCTACATTTAAGTTTCACGTTCTGTTCTGACTGAATGCTGCTGCAGCATGGAGGTGTAGTTCTCAGTCATCCTGGACATGATCATCCTGAGAGTTTTAGCTGAAAACAGCTGGAAGTTTCTGGATATGTTGGAGACATTTAGCCTCTCATCCCAGAGGCTTCTTCCAGACTTTGGTTGTGGTCAGAAACAAACACACTGGTTGTGCTTCAAGTCTTTTTCTTTTTTTCTCCAAAACATGTTTTTGTCTAAATGAAGGTGATGCTGTTGTTCATAGAATTAAAATTCATGTTGAAGTTGAGATTATTATCCTCTGTCAGTGCGCCCCAGAGCAGCTGTGGCTACATCGTAGCTCATCACCATCAGTGTGTGAATGTGTGTGTGTGTGAATGGATGGATGATACACTGTAGTGTAAAGCGCTTTGGAGTCCTTACTCTGAGAGGCGCTATGCAAGTGCGGGTCATTTATCATTATTTCATCAAGTAGGACCTGTGGTTAGCTGGCTCATTTAAAACATGGCATGTCTTGAAACAATCGGAATCGGGAATCGATAGGAACCGGAATCGAAATGAGGAATCAGAATTGGAATCGTTCAAAATCAACCGATGCTCAACCCTATTACCAGCAGCTTTTATGAGATGAAGCCTACCACTTGGACACGTCCAAACTTAATAACCCATCTGTGTGTTCTGACTCGAGTGGATCCTCTCTAATTCCTCTACAAGTCCAATTGATCTTCAATCAGTGACGGTGCCAGAGAGCAACATTCTGCATAGATACAAAAACTAATCACCATCACTTGAAGTAACTAAGGAAAGCAGATCGGGACTGAGGTTGTAACACTTCTGTTCTCTTTGTGGTGCATTACAGCTCTTCAATGAATAATTATTCCTGCTGTAATTAATCAAACTACTCCCGAGGCGTGAAAGAGCTGCTAGTAATGCAGCTCCCACCAGGAATCAGCTAAGCAGCTTGCAGTAAGCTCTCTGATTTGTTTTACTTGCGTCTTTGCCAACAGCTTGGATGAGTGAGCACGGCCGTTTAATTGAACATAACGCGTCCATCAGAGCAGTGTGACCCAGAAGGTTCTGACAGAACACTACAGGCTTTGGGAACTTTTTTTTTAAAGGAAATATGTTACACTTTTTCGCTGTGTGGGGAAATCCTTGTCAAGGCTAATAAAGGTCAGTAAGAACCCTAAGCTCCCATATGCAGATATTTCCACCTCCTTTCTTTGCATATTTATACGTTCTACTCTCTCAGTGTTACCCTCTATAGCAGGGCCATTCAATTCCAGCGTTTCAAGGGCTTCTATGGTCCAACACACTAGATTCAGTGGTTGAATCACCTATGCAGCAGCTCATCAGACTCTGCAGAAGCCTGTTAATCACCTGCTGATTGAAATCAGGTGTGTTGAAGCCGGTTTAAAACCAAAATGTGCTGGATACCAGCCCTTCAGGCCTAGAATTGAATAGCCCTGCCCTAAAGCAACAGGTGTGTGCAGGAAAGAAAATACTATGGCTATAATTTGCAGAAAGTTCCAGCTGTGAAAACGGAGCTCAGATAAAAGCAAACAAACAGAAACTGTGGAGCAGGAAGCTGCCGAAAAGCAGTTTTTCCACCCATCTTCACTTTCCTTCCCCCTCACGTCTCAGGTAGACTTTCATTTCTGCTGACCAGAAGGCAAATGCTTGCTTTGCAGAAACGGAAGTGTTAATTTGCATTGCATCCCAGGGGTGATTCATACACGAGTGGACAAAAATGAACCCCCGAGCTTTCCTGACAGATGAGACAAATTAACAGCTGTAATCACAGAGGGAAGGGGCTGTCACATCAAATCATTCAAAAGGCCATTTTTCCTCAAACCACTGGTGTGTCTGAACAAACACACACACACACACGCACACACGCATGCACGCACGAACACACACACACACTTTCATTAATAATGCTTGAACTTACTCGACTCTTCTTCGAGTAACACGTTTTTCCAAGAACAAAAACTATGCTAATTCATCACTGCAGCAATTAAAAACAAAGCAGCTGTGTGTGTATATGTGTAATGCATACAACTGTCATGTGTCCCTGTATGTAACCTCACACAGGCCTCTCAGAGTATTTCAATTCAAGCTGTGTGTATATTTGTATTTAGCAATGCTGTTTGAATGAAACGAGATGTTCGATGGAAATCTGAGCGCTGGTGAACTCTGCTGTTGCACATTACAAGCCATGTGCAAACCATAAATGTATTACAGTCAGTAAAGCTGCTGGTTATTGTGAGGATTCAAAATGTGCATTTAAAAAAATAAAAATGATGATGTTTGTGAACTGTGTAAAATGCTGGGTGTCGTTCTGCTCATTTGCATTTAAAGAGGCCATTCAAGCATGGACAGATGTATTGAGAGCTGTTTAAATGAGGTTTGGAGGCATGATGTGTCTTGTAAAAAGAGCATGGTGAGATCTAGGGATGTGAATAAAAAATGATACAGTGTAAAAGTGCAATATTTCTCGTTATGATACTGAATTCATAATTAAAAGTAGTGCTAAGTGTTGAAACTTGTTGAGCAGCAGTGTACTGATTTTTATTGAGAACTGGTAAAGGAAACATTTATTGCATTTCTTTTGTGTATTGCAACTCCAACTCCGACTGCTAAATGGCAGCACTTTTTACCACTTTTACAGAGTTTTCCTTAAACTCAGTCTTTAAAAACTGCAAATATTGTCTGGATTTTAGTATTGTAATATATTGTCATTCCTGTGTTGTACTATATAATATATTGCCAGACTCTTGCCAAAAAACAGTCCAGTGCTATATCGTTCATTTAGATTTGGTTCA